ATCATCAGCACGCATAGGGAAGGTGTTACATCTTGTATCGGGAGGATATCATCTATGAGGTTGTCTTCAAGTTGAATAATCTTCAATTTGCGCAACCTCCCAAGGTACAATGGCAGAGTCGTCAGGCGGTTTCTCGACGCCGAGAGTATCTCCAAATTCGTGTTCAAATACCTGGAAACCTAAATCCAGGAGACTGCCATATCGATCAAGATGGCGCGCGCGCCCAACAGAGAAGGAACTACACCGCACATTACAAATCATGGGGAAGAGTGTCCACTTGATTCCCACTGATGTCCAGCACCTACAATACTGTCGATATCTGCCAAACTGATGATGGCGTTCACCTGAAGGCGTTTCAATGGACTCAGCCTCGGCAGCGTGCCTGATATCCTATTCATATTCTCATTAGTAAAGGAGTGGAAGGAGTCCGCAGTGTTGTGCAAGTAGAGCTCCTGAGGAAGTCACCATTACAAAGAGGAGACTGCGACTCTTCAGGAGTTGGAGCAAATGTTTAATCGACAAGCCTCCTCGATGATAGAAATCTCACAAGTATAATTAACTCCACTTTTGAGCGAGCAGTCTACTACTTATCGATCCTAAGGCTTCACCTCTAGGTATATCAAGTAGCTGATACTCGATGGTACACTGCCCCTCAATCGATTATCCGACAGCGATATAGACCGTACAAAGCCGAACTCATTGCACTCTATACCGTACCTGCTCCCAAAACACATTCCACCGGAGAGGGTGTTACCAGTGAATACCATCCGTTCCAGCAAGGCTCTCCTTCCAACCATCCGTATTTATTCCTCCAGTTCATGCCATCGAGTTGAGTGAAGAAATCCGACAGAGCATTCCATTCTAGCTCTTTCTGCGTCCCTGCGTCGGGCGATAACGGAGGGTGGCAACCGTGTGTCGGCAATTGAGATGCCGATGCCGCCTCCAACGTTGGAGCTATATATCTACACCTCAGCCGACTACTAGGAACCTGTCGAGGCATCTCTCTCACCCACAGGCGTCCATGAAGTCAACCTTCTCTCGCTGGCTGTTGTGCCATCTACCTACAGGAAGCTGCTGTACTACTTCGACGGTGGTATGGAAAGATCTTACCATCTTCAGTTCTAACTAGACTGTCTTCTGGTAGTATAATGGTATCAGCCGCTGGGTCTTGAGTCGAGTATTGGCTACGAGCAAGGAAGACTACAAGGCAGCTGCAACAGAGACGCAACAGCATGGCAAACAGGGATAAAATTTCCTGTCTCATGAGCGAATCCCCAGAATAGAGGCGATAGCACGAGAATGAGCCCCGAAGCCTCGTATTGCCACCACTCTCCAAAAAACAGCATAAATACTGAGTGAAACATGGCATGGTGACGTAGCACGGAGAGCTCTGATTGAATACAGGATCCGGTAAGACATCAACTCATTCAGTCAGTCGTTTCCTTATCCCGCCGAGTTCCTCGACAACACACCCGACTTGTGTGAATCCATGAAGTCAATTGATGTGAAGCGATAACCGTCGGCACCTGCACGATGTCAGGGCTACGGGTACCCAAGGAATAGAGCCCCACCTCCTAGGGGTAGAGATGATGCTGAGGATGACGAGGGCACGTGGATGTGATGCTCCTCGGAAGCTAAGGAGTACCTGTGTGGAAGTAGGCAGCTAGCGCTGAAAAGTGACAATACTGAGCTACCGAGGACATCGTAATGCGAAAGTGCGAAAAGTCATTACTATCACTGCTGAATTCTCCTACATATCGATCAAAACCATCTTGGACTACACGTGAAAAGCAACTTCCCAGTGTCGCCTCACCTCTCTTGATCATCGTTCCCTCCTACACTGTTCGGCTCAACCTTCTTTCCAACCTCATAAATATCTTCAGCAGAGCCAATGAGTACCCTTCCAGACTCTCTCCGTCTCTCCACGGGTTCCTCATCAAACTCCTCAAAGCCCGTTATTATCAGAGGCTCTGGTTTCACCCCTTGGTTAGCCCTATCTTTCGAGCACGAGGACATTTCGCGGGGATCTCTCACAAGCTTAGGAGAACTTGGTTCACGCCGGGCACAGTGTCGTGCGGCATTCATTCTCGGATGGGAGGGGTAACCCACACACGAACTACGGGAGGAGTGGTATAACCAATTACTGCATGCATACACAACGTACCTCTCGGGCGTGGATAGCGGCAAGGACTCCACGGACTGCCGTCCCAGTGTCCACCGCGAGGGCAGCCGTCGGGAAGCTGTCCAGGAAGAGCTGCTCGATGCCTAATCACGAGAGTATGCGAGCATGATGCAGTGGCCGCCACCTACTGGGTAACTCCTAGCTCCCATAGTCTCGCTGCTCGCTCGAGCATCCCTGTGTCTATCGCTCAGAGGACTGCGATAGGAACAACAAGGTTGATGATAGAATGAAAAAAGAAAACGAGAGTGAGACAAGTGCCTTGTAGGCACTGCCTACAAGGTAGACGTATTGCAATAGATATTCAGGAGGAATCGAAAAAAAGGCTAGATGACGAATATATCCGCGCTACAGTGCTACTCGCTCGCCACATAGTGACAAGCAACTATGGCGAGGAAGAGTCGATGGGGAAACGACAAGGTGTCATCGACAACGAAAGACTGTACGGAGCCATCTAATTGCCTTGATGATCGGATCCTTTGTGGAGGGCATCGAGGGCTGAGCTCTTCCTCAACAGACACCGGGCTCAAGTCCTGGGGCCTGCTTCTCCTATCACGTCTACGACTATACTGGCTCCTACGAGAAACTGCAAGGAGTGACCGCGTCCACTGCCAAGTGACGAATATTGCTGGGTACTCAATTTCCCTAGTCTCCGCGACAATGCCTCATGGAGCCTCTCCGCGCGTCTGAAGAAGATATTGTAAGCGCTGCACCAACAAATTTTGTTACGTTTCGAAATAATCCTGATGACTTGAGCTGACTCGATGCTTCCCAACGGCTAGCATCCTCCTCAACCCACGAAGATACTCGTTCAGTATCTCTTCGCATGCTACATCCTCAACCATTGCTAACCGATTTGGTCTGTCGAGCAACTCGCTGCAATTCGACGCTCGGGATGCCGCGATGCCGAGATATGGTACCTATCACGAACCCGTCCTTCACCAAGCGCACTCGGATTCTGAAGCTAGAACGAACTGCCGACATCTCGGGAGAGCACTGAGCCAAGAGAGATTAGGAGCAGCACCCCACCATATTAGAGCGCGACTCGCATCTTGGATCACGCGCGAGCGTCGTTGGTGCCTGAGTAGGGGCGCGAAAGTTCAAACCAAAGGAAATTTCCAGATAAGATCTCCACGATTGTAACGA